GACAAATAGCCTAGCACACCGCTTAGACTCCGAACAAGACAAAATTACCACGTACAGTATAACCTCCTGTCAAACCAAATGACATCAATATAAAAATAAATCCCGAAACGCTACTTCGGCTTAGGCCGTGCACCCTTCCACAGCGTAATTTGCCCGGGCTGGATTATCTTCCCTACAGCGTCCGACGCTAGCGCAAAGGACGCCTTTGGAACATCATCTAAATTGGCCCGCAAGTACGATTGAAACGCATATTATTTCCATCGCCCATGCTGTTGAATTGCCCACGAAGACAACCCGATCGCCCCCAACCTAGTCGCGCCCCCTATCCTGCCGGAATGCGGCGCTTACTCTTCCGGTTTTAATCCTTGACCAGCCACAAGAGCGCGCAAAGCTGTCGACGATTGAGCACACGTTCAAACCTTCCAAACCTTACCAGAAGGGTAAGCAGCAATGGGTGCCATCTCCTCGAGCTGCGGAAGCCCGCCTTTGCCGCCACCAGCCACAAGATCATACCGTGTGCCATGCACTCACGATCCCGACCACCGCTCAATCAACCACGCACCGATAACCTCCCGCGAAACGGACTTCGGCAGCGGGACTCCCGCGTGCACGATAGACCGGGACCTCCCTTTTCCGTCCGTAGTCCACGATTTTGGATGCCAACTCCCTCCTTTCCACACCCAATCGTCCCCCGGTTTCGCTGGTGGCCCCGCATGCGCGCGGAGCCCGCACCCCTAGTTGGGGCCACCCCGACCTCCGCCCCCCCTGCCCTGGCCCCCAAATCCCCCGCCGCTCCCGAATCCTCCCCCACCCCCGAATACCGGAGCCGCTCCGCGTCCAGCACTCAAGTTCGGTCCTCCTCGCCCTCCGGCAGGCAAAAACGAACCTCGACCCCCTCCCCCGCCCCCTGTCCCCCTGCCGCCAACAAATCCAGCTCCCTCCCCCGTGCTCGCCGCCTCCGCCGCCTCCAAACATGCCTGCACTGTTGTCGCCGCCGGCCCGTGAGGCATCGTGATTGAACCTGCAGGCGTTGCCCCTGAAGCACGACCGCGTCGTGTACCAGTGAATGCACGTCCCATACGGCACTCCGTCCTGATTGAGCGCAATTGCCCGTGGCGACGGGCCTACTGTTGTAGACGAAAATTGCTCCCCGCCCCTCCCCGTTGAGCGGTATTCCCCGATAGCGAAGCCATAAGTGCCTGTTGATGTACCTCAGTAAAGTCGTCGGTCGCTGGCCTGGTGTGGGCAAACGATGCCGTCTCGATGCGCGGGATATCCATCTGGGCGAAATCGCCAACTGGGGGCGAGTGCGGAAACCGAACCCTCAACTTCTCCGACGCCCGGCCCGCGGCCGCCGCTACTAGGGATAAATCGCGGTCGACAGCGTTTACGATGTTTTCTTCCAGCGCAGGCCCATACTCCCCTGAAAAGGCAGAGCGGAACTTAGACACGTAGTGGTGCAAGCGCTGTGAGATGTCACGAAATGGCGCCAAAAAAGACTCCGCACGCTCTTTCCCAACCGCGGATACCCCCAGAGCCACCATCGCTTGAAGGCCTTTCACCAGCGCGGCAAACTTGTCATTAACGAGAACACCCTTGGCCTTGTCGCTACCAATCTGATACTGGCGCGCCGCAAATGGCTTGAGCTTGATGCCTGACAGGGTGTTGAGCATCTTAAACACAGCGTCGTTCACGACTAACTCGTCACCCACTTCTTCTTGCAGCCGCGCTATGTTGACGGATTGTGCAACGAAAGCCGCGGCAAAACACCGACGAATCCCTTCTTTTGCTACCCAATCCTTCGACTCACGCTTTTCAGTCTCACGCTGGCCAGTGGAGACCCCCCCGGCGACCCCTGGCATCGCCGAAAGTCACCCCCGAGGGGGGGTGCGCCTTGCGCCGCTGCTTCAATGTGTGGGATCAACATATCCAGCTGACCCTGAACCGCACACACAAGGTTGTTTGAGCACCCATTTTGCAAGTTACACAAACAGCATATTACAACGGGGCTCCGCGAAAGTCGATGGGTATACTCCGCGCGAGCCTCCATGATGTATTGCCCTGACCCCAAGTGGTGCACACGCTGGTACTCCCCACACAGATGGCTGCGTGCCATCAAATCAGCAGGATACCACAAGCGTGTCATGTTCTACACGTGCAGACATTTGATTTGCCCTTGTTTGGCTCTACACCTTGGCGAATACCTAGCGATGAAAGGTGAAAGAGCTGTTGCTGCCAAGCCCGTTCCGCAGCTAGCTGTCAGCATCAAACTTCACGCTGCTTTTTCAGTTGACGGACTCCCTCGCGACTTCGCGACAGTGGATCACAACCCACATAGCGAAAGGGAGCATTGGCGCAATTTTGGATCGCCACTACTAGGAGGGTCGTTCCAGTGAAGCACTCTACATAGAGTGACACCAAGAAAGGAGTAGTGGGCCTGCTCCCTGTTTGTTATTCCTCTACAACACAACACCACAGGCCGCAATTATATGTTCGGAGTGCTGGCACACCACCACCATTTCATCAATCCTATATTTTTTGGTAAGTTATCCTGTGGCCACGGAAATGGCTCGATCATGTGTTTGATCAGTACGGATAGATGAAGGTTTTTTATGTGAAGACAACAACAACAACAACAACAACAACAACAACAACAACAACAGCAACAGCAACAACAACATTTATTAAGAGAAACCATTCCACATGGACCCAGAGTGCAAGAAAGATTCTGATAAGGTTCGCGAATCTCCCCGCGCCGTTATCCATCCGCTTTCCGAACTCCCTCCAGCTCTCTCTCCCTTTCTGTCTCTCTTGCTCTCACTCTCCCTCTCTCTTTGCCATAGTGTTCTATGCTCTCCCTGGGTGGAGAGCCTGGCACACGCGCACGCGCACGCGTTCACGCGCTCTTCACCAAGGTCGAAATGTATCGACAGACGTCAAGCACAAGCCACGGCCAGTGCCCTCACAATTGTGTTACCTGAAACCCTAATTTGCGGCTGCTCAGGTTTTGGTTTTGGGGGGCTCGCGAACCGTTCGATTGAGGTCTCAACGTCGGGGAAGAAGTTCGTCAGGGCACTACAGTACATCGATTCCGGCCTCAGCTTTACCGGACGAGAAACGGGGGTCCTTCAACTTTAAGGATCGACATGTCAGGGTCCAGAGGGCCGAAGGTAGCCCTAGTGGTTATTGTGGTATGGTGTATTCTCGCCATGTTCACCCTGTGGACACCTACGTCGCGCGACTCAGAAGAGACCGAGATCAGCAGTTTCGTTGAACATGGGCATGACCGAAAGTTGGCCGTCATTGTGCCAATCCACGAGGGAGATTCAGATCGGGCGATGGCAGCCCTGTCGAAATGGCCAACGACGTGCTACTCGAACACGCTGATGGGGATGGACCTCATCATATATAGGGCTGAGGCTAGTACCAGCGCCAGTCGACTCACCACCGTGCCAGACCGGGCATCATTGTGCTTTCGAGACACCAAGATCGTCGCAGCGAATCTCCGGCCAGAGGTAGGTGTGTGCCGTCGGGACCGATAATACGAAGTGTCTCCCTCAGTATCCAAGTGAATGTAGCAGCGTTGACACGTCGACAGCATCCTGGGTTTAATCCTCGAGTTTCGGCAACGAGGGATCACGAGTCCACGTGTTGCTAAACATCTGCGTCGACATAAAACGCGAACTACGACACAGTTTTCTGGGATGATTTGTTGCTATTGTCAAGGTGCGCCGGGTATCGACTTCCAGGAGGGTCAGAACGTTTCTCCAGTCAGTATGAAAACGCCAATCCTAGCCTCCGACGAAAACACGCGTCAACAGGCACGCCTCACGCGCACTGCTACATACTTCCGGGCCAACGCGCACTTCTGGAGTACAAGCTGGTGTCCTTGACCAGGTGTCGTCGACCAGAGGCGCCCACGACAAACGTTCGACCGGTTGACTAGCAATGCTCCGATTCAAGCAATATCGTGTAATAGACATCTGAACATCCATCCAACCCGCATCCAGAACGATGACACCGACGACTAGAGTGCTTTCAACGACCATGCCAAGCTGCTTGGCTCGATCAACAAGGAGGGTGAGTATGTCGAGCAGAATCGCCCCCAATCATCGGCCCATTGTGTCTTTTCCAGCAACCCTCCTTTTTGCGTTGTGCCGCCTTTCAAAACAGGACAACGTGTACCCGAAGGGCTCTTCGGTGATGTTCTACAAACTGTATCTCGACAGCCATGTGGTTGCAAGCCTCGCAGAATATGATGCACTTGCTATCGTGGAGTGGGATATTATCGTGGCGCACTCTTCAAGCTTTTCCAGGTTGTACGAGGCGGCATTCTTCTCCTCTGAGTGGTTTTGGGTGAAGGGAAGCACACTATCTGGAACTGAGTTTCATCAAACAGCAACATTGACGAAGATGTGGCATATCCTTGGACATCTCAACGGAAATGCCATATGTAAGTTATTCGGGGGCCAATCTATATATTGTCAAATCATCCAAAGTAGTACCCGCTCGAGCAATTACACCGTGACATCAATTGAGTGATACCCGGGTGCGTTTTGTTTCGGCTGACGAAGGCTTTCCCGTTGATGAATGTCGCTAATTGTCGTATGCTTATGTAGTTGCCCGCATACCTACTCGTTTAGCCTCGTCAATATATTGCATTGTCTGGTCAGTTTTGTTTTTACTGGCTGGCACTTACAGAATGAACCTCGTAGTTTGTCGTGTGGTGCGATGTTCGATCGGTCGGGTTCGATCGGTCGAGTTTTTTTCGGAGAAGGCCGCGTGGTGACGGAACAGCTGCATCCTGAGTATTTCCGACTCATGAAGAGTGCATGGACATCAACCTCCGTGTCTTCACGTATTTGTAACTACTCGCTCAACTTGATCGCCCTGTCCCGCCAAACGCTTTTCGCTGTGGTGTCCTCAACGTCACTTGATTGATCAGATAACAACACGGACCCGGCGTTTACGGAATTCGTAAACTTCACTCTCTCTCGGTGGGAGTACACAATCTCGTAAGTTCGTCCACCTCTCTCTATTTTGAGTCGCTGTTAAAAGCGTTGCTATACATTGTGGGCATTTGGATCTCGCGAGGAATGCAGACGTGCAGTAGCTCGAATCGAATCTGTTAGGGGCTGCGTAAGGGTTACAGTAGTTTCTACAGTGCGTACAGCACACCGGCAGTTTCCGCCTCCATTTGCGATCCTCCGAAGAACAGGTGCAGACGAGCGTGTTTGAAAAGCCGTCTACATCATATGTCGCAGATGTGGTGGAGTCCCCAATTCGGCAATGATGGTTATTCAATGGATGGGTGCATCCTGGGAACCACCGATAACCCTGCAAATAAAACTGTTTCACAAGCCATGAATGGCTTCTACTGCATCAGACAGCACAATGACAACAATGAGAGAGACTCTATCCGTGATTATCTGAGGAAGCGAAATGTTGCGTTGCCCTTGAACGTGCTTGAAGTCTCGTGTTCTTCGCAGAGTTCGACGCGTTGAAACGGCGGTTGGCAGATACAGACACAGAGACAGTAGTCTAGTATGCATTCTACATGACCTGCTTCATGTGATTTGAGTGAGTGACGTCTTGCATTCATCGTTTTGATCTGCGAAGGTCACTTTCGAGGGACGAAGTGTCTGTCCCGTATCGTTCGGATTCTGCTACACGACTTGTACAGGTACGACGTGGCGCTTTGGGCAACGATGGCGGACTTTCCCTACAGTTGGCCGATCTGGCAGCGATACTCTTCGCGATTTGTTGCAACTACCCTGGTGAGGTGTCCCGTTTTGAAATACGCCATGGTTTGGGTCAGGGTCCCCCGGTTGGGAGTGTCAGGTGGGTCTGCTCGGACCCAAAAGTCATTGATGGTGAAAATATAATCGAAAACAAACATTTGCCCTTCGTAAAACTCAAGAGAACGGTTGAGGGCACTGAAGTAAAAAAAGGATGAGATAACAAGTCTACACGGATTGTGAACTATGTAGGGGTCACGAGGTGATAGAGGCCGAGTAGGTCTGTGAGAACGGCCGACGTGTGCTGCGCGGCTATGGTCGATGCTGTGTCAATCGTTTACATGAAATGGGAACCTCTCGACCATTCATTTTGTGTGTAAAATGCAAACTTCGTGTCCAAAGCATCAATTTTCTATTTGACCTAATGAACAGACTCACACGACCATAGGTCATATCGTGTGTTGTGTGGCGCTCATTGCCGTCGACACCGCTTCCACGCGGCCTCAGAGGTTCGACAAGGACCATCCCGACACCCTCTACTGTATTTGGCAATGAACATCTGCGCCGTTCAGCACGGGACGTTCGCTCGTACAGTGGTTGCTTCGTTGTGATGCACGCGAAATGATTCGGAAATATATATGAATGATCGCTGGGGAAGAATGCGTTGTCCCTTCGCGAATCACGTCGACACCAAGAGAAAGGGTTGCGAACAGTTACTCCTTCAGTTGCTTCGTGCGTGCAAGGTGTTCGTTGGGCGACTATGTCTTCGCCGAGTGGGATTTCAGTTCAAGATCATGGCTGCGGCCAACAACGAACATCCAGAGAACCTGTTACTCCGGTGCAACGAAACCTGATGAGATCGAATATTGCGATGGGAATGATGTTTGCAGGCATGGGAGGATTAAGCTCCAACATGGCATTTTTGGCGAGATCGCAACAACGTTTCTTCATCGTACCTACCTTTCTCTATCGCTGCAGATATCGAACATCGGATTCTTCGACGTCAACGACCATCACGTGGCAAAGGCGATTTCGCAGGACACCTTGTTCATCCACGGCAATTCGCAAAGCCGGGGGAGTGTCACGAATGCTAAAGCAGGGGGTTTGCTCGGGTCCCATCACGGAAGGAACAACTGCACGGACGCTTGTGGTGCGGAACATTTATCGACGATTCCAGCGGGCGTCTCTACATTCTGTGACGAAAGCTGCTCTGCTGAATGGTCGTCTGCTGGGCCGCGCTTCGGGGGTCACAATTGCGGCGCAGGAAGCACTTCACGGTATGGCAGCGACTGCAGATTATGCTACACGGACCAAGAGGGTGCCCTGGCCGCCGATATCAAGCTTGGATTGTCGTCCGTCAACACGTCGGCGCCAATACCCCACGTCATCATGTGCGACACCGGGCACCCGCCACCCGCTGCAAGCTGCTCTGCTGTGTGTGAGGCAACCCCCGACACGGTGAGCTTAGTTCTGCTCCGTAGGACTCATACCGCGAAGGACCTTATCATTGGCACTTGGTCAGCAGTATATTTTTCCAATGAGCGCATCTCTCAGAGATAGATTTTGGAATTCGGCAGGGCACGTTACACTTTCCTTTCAGCGTACTTATACTGCCTTCGGTAGCAAGCCCTGCATACTAGGAACCCCGAGAGGACTCCTGGGCTGCAGGAGGATCCCGACAAGCACTTGTTTCCAAGATGAGCACTTCAAGTGGTTGGTACGCCTACGAAGAAAGCACATACACCTGTATCTCATTGGGATGAAACTCGCCCTTGTTCTACACAAGACACACTGGACTACGGCACACCAGTTGCCAATCGGCTGTACTCCCTGTATCCTGAACAGATAAAACCCTGTGAAAGCCCCCTAGTTTTCAGGCAGGTCGTTCGCATTGGGCACAGCGTCAATAGTACGGATCACAACCGACGGCGACGAATCCAATGATTCATAATTTACACCCATAATTCACCACCTTCATTATTCGGAGCCGAGGGTTCATGGCTCGATAGCGCGGTTGGTTTTATTTTTCACCCACTCTAGTCTACTTTGGTGTGGTTTTCGGTATATCCACTCCATGTGTATATATATATATATTAAGCTGCTGTTACTTGGGAGTTTGGAAATGAAAGGTACAAACATCACGTAGGGTCAGCAAGCAACGCACGGTCTGGTTGTATTGATTTTCGTGGAGACCACAGCACAGAAGTGAACGTGGCAAGAATCTATGCCCGGGCGGCCACGACGGCGACCAAAGAAAAAGTCCATCTGCTGCATCGAAACAACACACACAACTAAACTCGGCAGGCAAGGTGTGTGCTCTGCATGCTGCACCCACGCTTCAGAGTAGGTTGTCATAAGGAGATCGACAAAGACCACACAACAAGTAGTTGACGGGCTGCACCAGTTCAACCTGTGAGGAGGGTGATCAAGGAGCCTCACTTCTCTTTTCTCGCTGTGTTTCGTTAAGTATACTCAATACTCAGGAATTTTTAAGTGAATGAATACTCAACCATGAATAAATCGCTTGATTAAGTAGGAATTTCAAATATACTCAACGGCTACTTGGAAACCTTTGAACAAGTATTCAAAATTTCTCATCGGTACCCGGAATGTTGAGCAAGTATATCAAACTTCCTATACGTACTTAAGCACTCGAGTATTTTGCTCAACCTTGGGTATATCCTCCTTGAGGAAGCACTTCAAAATAGTCATCCTCGACTCTTCGAGTAAGTACTTCGGGAATATTCATCCGTACTCAAGCGTTTCTTATGCATAGGTATTTCTAAAGTACTCAACCGTATTCACCAACCGAGTTTGAGCATACCTATTACTAAAAATACTTTGAGCACGCAGTGTATGTAGTAATCCTTTATTAACCACACCCTTGGACCCTTTCCACGAGACAGGAGAGAGGGACAGAGAGCATCAGCAGCAACTAACAACTAAGGGCGCGCACCCCGTTACATGGCAGATCTCATGAGAGACCGTACGTATAATGATCGGCGCGCCGCTTGCCGTGGGTAAGTTCGTGTGCAGACAAAACTGGTCTTCCTCTTACTCCAGTTGGATTATCTTCTCCTGTCCAGCAACCACCCGGCAGCAACAACAGAGAAAGACAGAGGATATGATGATCAAACACACGAACATTTTCTTGC